TAAGATTGCTCGCACCTATCTGCTCGCGTGCCATTATTCAACACGTATATGCCAAACACTCTATGCCCGCCCTGGTCGTCCTCGATCGTGTCCCCTTTTGGGTAGATCTTCCTCACCTGCCACGTGCAATCCGTGCAGCCCTTAACACAAGGGAAGAGAGGACGGACGGAAGATGGAGGGAGAAGGATGGAGCACGGGAGAACTTAGCATGAGGGGGGGCTAGGAGCAGAAACCACGTCGTAGAACCATGCGCGCAGATCAGGCGGGCAGATCCACAGCGGGCGGGATGGGAAGGCGGGCGCAGGCGGCCAGGTCGAGCAGGTGGGTTGCTGAAGCGTGAGTCGTGCGGGAATCGCGGGGAAATCCCGAGCGATAGCGCGATTCCCAAGTAAATCGTCAGATAAGCCAAAGCGAGAGCGTGATGCCTGAGTGTCGAGGGCGCGGCGTCTGAATAATTTGCGAGCAAGTCCCACGCGAGAGCGCGATTCCTGTAGAATTCTGAGGGATTCCCGCGCGAGAGCGCGAGTTTGGCATACACTGTGCGGAAGTATCATGCGGAAACCGTTGCTGTTGTTGTTGTTGTTGTTGTTGTTGTTGTTGTTGTTGTAGCTCCCGGGCCAAAGGCGCAGCTTGGTGACAACACTCCTTCCCTGACAAAAAAAGGGTGTGAGCCCTGGGAAGGGCACTTCGATTGAAAATCGCAATGGTTACCGGAGCGGTGATCAACAACAACTATTGCTCAGAATTAGAAGTTCAACAACATCAGCTAAAACCGCAACCAGCAACCAACAGCCAACAACCAACAACCAACAACCGGCACAGACCACCACCAACAGCATCAGACACAACATCAACAACAACCATTCAAAGATTTTGTTCTTTGTCGCCCTCGTGCCATGCAATATGCATCCCCCAAACCCTGGATACCCGCCCTCTTCGTCTTAGATCGTTATCCCTTTTGGGGGGGGTCTGTTCCTTCCCTGCCACGTGTAGTTGGGGAAGCCCATAAACAGGAAAGCCGAGGGTAAATTAGAACGGGAGAGAATGAGGACGGGGGATCGGAGGGGGGGGAGGGAGGGAAGGGGCAAGAAGGGGGGAGGACGATGATTTGCGCTGCGAGTGGCGATTCAGCGTGCGCCATGGCTTGCGCCATGGCTTGCGCCATGGCTTGCGCCATGGCTTGCGCCAGTCATTCCAACGCAGGCGAACAATCTATTTCGCCATGTGTCGCGCCATAACCAGCGCCATGCACCACACCCTTGAAACAAACATACTGTGGATACCCCCACAGGGGGATGTACAGCAACAGTGGTGTAAGAAACAAACTTCTCGGAACTCTGACGAGTAGCGAAGATATGCAGGAGAGTGGAGTGTGTGTGGGGGGGGGATAGTGAGAACTGCAAACGTGTGGGGGGGAGCGCGGGGACGTGGAGTGGAGTAGGATCAAGCGGACAAGGGTAGGGCAGCAGCAGGGCCGCGACGTGCCACGATGGGGCGAGCGCCGCGCTGGGGCCACGAAGGCAGTTCAGGGGCCAGGCGGGGCAACTTGGCAACGGTGGGAACAGTGGGGCACGAGGGGCAGCGAGGGCAGCGAAGGGGCCACGAAGGGCGACAGCGGGGCCACGAAGTGCAGCGAAGGGACCACGAAGGGCCACAGCGGGGCCACGCAGGGCGGCAATGGGGCCACGAAGGGCGAGAACGAGCGGGGGGCACGACGGGCATACTCATATGGGGGCCACAAAGGTCAGCAAGGGGGCCACTGATGGCAGAAACGGGACCACGGCGAGGAGGCCGCAAAGGGCGACAGCGGGGCCACGAAGGGCAGCGATGGGACAACGAAAGCCACGAGCGAGCGGCGGCCACGAAGGGCATAGGTATATGGGCCACAAATGTCAAGGGGGCCACAGAGGGCAGCAAAGGAGCCACGAAGGTCAGCGAGGGTGGCCACACATCGCAAGCAGGGCGACGGAGGGCAGCGATGAGGGCACGAAGGACATGCTTATGAGGCCACGACGGGCGCGAGCGAGCGGGGGCCACGAAGGGCATAGGTATATAAGGCCGCAGACGGCAGTCGCGGGGCCACTGATGGCAGCAACGGGGCCACTGAATGCAGCGACGGGGGCACGAAGAGCGACAAGGGGGCCACGAATGGCATGCATATGGGGCCACGACGGGCGCGAACGAGCGGAAAATACCAAGAGCATACACATACGGGACTGGTACGGGCGACAGCGGGGCCACGAAGGGCAGTGATGGGGTCACGACGGGCATGCGTATGGGGCCACGACGGTCGCAAGCGAACGGGGGCCACGAAGGGCATATAGTGCGGGGCCACAGAGGGCATGGACGGGGCCACTGGGGGTATCAATGGGGCCGCGCATGGCAGCGAGGGGGCCGCAAAGGGCGACAGCGGGGCCACGAAGGGCATCGAGGGACGCATGACGGGAGCGAGCGAGCGGGGGCCACGAACAGCATACATATATGGGGCCGCGATGGGCAAGGACGGGGCCACTGAGGGCATCAGCGTGGACATACATGATTGGCAACGAGGGGGCCACAAACGGCGACAGCGGGGCGAGGAAGGGCATGCGTATGGGGCCACGAAGGACGCGAGCGAGCGGGGGCCACTAAGGGCATATAGTGCGGGGCCACGGAGGGTAGCGACGGGGCCATTGAGGGTAGCAGCGGGGGCCACGTAGGGCAGCGAGGGGGCACAATGGTCGACAACGGGGCCACGAAGGGCAGCAATGAGACCACGAAGGGCGCGAGCGAGCGGCGGCCACGAAGGGCATACGCATATGGGTATACGGGGCACAAGTGGCAGGGACGAGGCCACAGAGGGCAGCAAAGGGGCCACGAAGGTCAGCGAAAGGGCCACACAATACAAACAGGGCGACTAAGGGCAGCAATCGGGCCACGAAGCGCGTGCATATGTGGCCAAGACGGGCGCGAGCGAGCGGGGGCCACGAAGGGCATACATATATGGGGCCAGAACAAGGTGACAGCGATATCATTGAGGGCAGCAAAAGGGCCACGAAGGGTAGCGAGGGGGCCACGAAGGGCGACAGCGGGGCCACGAAGGGCACGCGTATGCGACTACAAAGTACGCGAGCGAGCGGAAACCACGAAGGGCATATATTGCAGCGCCACAGAAAACAGCGACGGGGCCGCTGAGTGCAGCACAGGGGCCACGAAGGGCAGCGAGGGGGCCACAAAGGGCGACAGCGGGGCCACGATGGGCATGCATATGTGGCCACGACGGGCGCGAGCGAGCGGCGGCCTCGAAGAGCATACAGATATAGGGGTCACACATGGCGACTGCGGGGCCGTTTGAGGGCAGCAAAGGCGCCACGAAGGGCAGCGAGAGGGCCACGACGGGCGCGTGCGAGCGGGGGCCACGAAGGGCATATAATAATGCGGGGCCACGAAGGGCAGGGACGGGGCCACTGAGGGCAGCAACGGGCCCACGACGGGCAGCGAGCGAAGGCGACCGCCGAACCAGGATGTGCAACGAGAGGCGTCGAAGGCGGGCGGAGGGCAGCAAGCGGCGACTGCGGGCTGGTCGGGCGGGCAGGCTTCGGCGGGTGGGTCGAGCGGGCGGGCCGTTGAAGCGTGAATCTTGTTTGGATCGCCAGAAACAGAAAGGCATGTGAATAACTTGTGATAAAGTCTCAGGCGGGATCGCGATCTTTCAGAACTTGCCAAGGATGCTGCAAGCGAAAAGTTGATTTCTCAGTACAGCGTGAGGAGGTATCAGGCGTGAACCGTTGTTGTCGTAATTCGGGGGCCAGGGGCGCAGTTTGACGCTCAAGATTTTCCCGGACTAAGGAACTAGGGCACGAGCCCCGGAAAGGGCAATGTGCACCAGGCAGGGGGGATCAGCAATAATCGTTATTCAGAAGCGAGTTCAAACCCAACACTGGCGCAAAAACCATCCGCACCGCGGAATTTTGTTGTAGCCACGCACCCATGGATAGCGAAAAACTTCCCACCCCTCATTCTGATATACACACATACGCGCATATTAGACCTATAGAAGCGCCGTTCGGCGCCCAGGGGTGGCACCTTCGGCGACGCCCCAGTCGCGCCTCGGGGAGGGGGTGGCCAGAGCCGACCCAAGAAATCTTCGCGCACCACAGACATGTAATGTGTGTAGCTTGCTGTTATCTGGTCATCTTGGGGTCGTTGAAACATCAAGATGGGCCGTGTGTTGACCCGGTGCGGGTCTTGATGGCTTCGCGGATCGGCCCCTGGTTATTGAGGCCCCGCGCACAAGTTGGGCTGAAGTCTGCGATTGTTCGATTGTTTTTGTTTCGCGGAGGCGTAGTCTGCACAACGTCGGATGTCGGGGATTCTGGTGCAGGGGGACCCACGGACATACCAAACAGACCTTCGAAAGGCAAAACGCATCAATACCATAGTGAAGTGGCTTCGCTGGCCATCTATCGGTACTTGCTGAATTTGAGCTTGAAGTTAGTACCGATCCTGGGCCGGTGTATGTATATATATATATATATATATGTCGAGAGAGGCATATCTGAATCTATGTTTGCGTCTGTTTATGTTCGCATGAGGGAAGCAACTTGTTCTACACCAGCCATGGGCGGGTGCCTGAAGTGGGCTTCGCGTTCGCAGTTAGGATTATGTTTGTAATGTCTTGTTGTCTTCGTCCTTGTCCGCGACCCACCCGCGACCCGCCCGCGACCCGCCCGACCCAGCCAGACACACACGCGGCCCACCCACGTCAATGTTAGTGTCGGCGAACAGATAGTCGGCGCCTGTGGCTGGCTCGTTGTGCAATCTGAGAGAAGGCGGCGGGTTTTCTTCGGAGCCTCGCAGACTGCCGACGACCCCGCCGCCTCCTCTCTTTCATCTGTAACTACAGGGGCTCTGGAGTTTGGGTGTGTAGATGTATGTACATCTACTATGTGTGTTTGACTGTATGTGTATATGCCTTCGGGGGGTCTGTTTGGTTGGCGTCCTGCCCCCCCCACCCCACAATGGTGGCCAACCGACCCCAGAATCGGAAGCACTTCGAACACGACGTGCACGCAGTGCGCGCGGCGCTGCCCCAGGCCGGGAGAGTGAAGCCGGCCAGCGATCACCGAGCCTTCGCGGGCCCAGTTCCAGAGGCGGAAAAGGTACCGATAGTGCTCCCCTTACATCGTTTTCGCCTTTGGGGGCCTCCTGGGAGGCCGTCGCTGCCACCGCTGGATTCGATTCGAAGTTCTGATCAGAACGCACCCTGGATGAGGTCTGGGGAGGAGGAGTATCTGTCAGAATGAGGGGGCCTAACGGTCTTGAATTGTTCTCGTGTGTGTGTGTCGCTAGAATGGGTTCCTACGTTCCGGATTTTTGTTGACCGTGATTCACCCCGCGACCCACCAGCAACCCCACCCGCGACCCACCCGCGACCCACCCCGCGACCCACCCGCGACACACCCCCCGAACCACCCCGCGACCCACCCCGCGAGCCACCCGCGACCCAACCGCGACCCACCCCGCGATCCGCCCACATTGCTTTAACAAAAAAAATCGGCGCCTGCGGCGGGCTCAATGCATTTGTAGAAGTTAGGCGCCTGCGGCGGGCTTCTTCAGAGCCTTGCAGACTGACGCCGTCCTCGCCGCCCCCTCACTCTCATCCGCAACTGCGGGGGTGATGCGTAGTTTGTTGTTTCTCCCCACATTTCTTGGAGGGGGCATCGTCGGGTGGTGCCTGGAAGCGGCCCTGGTCAGGCCCAGCTTCTCCAGGGAGGCGCAGGGGGATCGCCGCAACACCCGTCACGAGGGCCCCCCAGGGGCCCAAACACAGAGCCAGAAGCTGGCAGCACCCGATATGGGGGCTTGGCCAGGCAGTCTGGGCCCCCGGGCTTGGCGGAGGCTCGGTGGCGCCGCTCGGTGTCGCCCTCTGCCTGCCAGGGGCTCCCGTCGCTGCGCGCTCCGCAGGCTGGCGCCCCTGCGGCCACGGGCCACGGGGGCGGCGCGTTCCAGTTCCCGAGCGGACTGCCCCACCTCCTCCCCAGCGGCGGCGCGCAACCCGGCGCGGCGTCGCCCGCCGCCGCTGCAGGCGCGGCCGGGTCCGTGGCTGAAGCGGCGCCCGCCGCCGCGGCCGCCGCCGCGGAAGCGGCAGGGTCTGCGGGCGCCGCGGCGCTGGCCGCCGCTGCCGGCAGCGCCGCCGCGTTGGCCAGCCCCTTCGGTCAGGCGGCCGTGCCCGGCATGCAGAGGATCACCATCGAGCAGATGGAGGGGCCGTCCTTGGGCTTGAAGCTGAAGGACAGGGTCATCACTGGCCTCCAAGACCCGGGCGCCGGCAAGCTCGGCTTCAAGGTAGGCCAGCGGATCGAGGCCGTCAACGGGACCGCGGTGTGCAACAACGACCAGTTGCTGACCGAGATCCGCAGGGTAATGGGGCCGTTCAAAGCCTCGGGGACGCCCATGTACTTCGACGTGAGCGAGGACGCCGCCGCGAGCGGCACCCCAGAGCAGGCAGCAGCGGCGCCTCCGGCAGGGCCGCCCGAAAAGACGCCCGCAGCGGTGGCGGCCCTCGCGGGTGCCGTGGCGGCGCCCGCAGCGGCGGCCGCAGCGGCGGCCCGAAATGCCGCGGCGGCGCCCGCAGAGGCGGCCGCAGCTGCGGCCCGGAGTGCCGCAGCGGCGCCCGCAGCGGCGGCCGCTGCGCTGCCCGCAGCAGCCGCGGCGGCGCCCGCAGCGGCGGCCGCTGCGGCAACGAAGGCCGCCTCTGCGTTGGGCCTGGCGCCCGCGGGCGCGCCGGGCCCCGCCCTAAACCCAGAGGGGCGGGGGGCAGCAGGAAAGGGGGCGAAATGCCAGCATGATGCCGGCCAGGATCTTCACCATGAGCGCCAGCGGCGGGGGCGGGTCATGTTCGGAAGTGGTCACGCAGGGTGCTCTTCCCCACAGAGAAGCGCCCCAGACAAGGCCCAAGAATGCCCCAAAAGCACTTTCCAAGACGTGATCTTCTCTCATCGATCGGGTATCGAGGCTCACGGTCGCTCCCCCCCGCCCAGGCTCGCCCCACCCGGCGTGCGGTGGGGGCCGCTGCCCCAGACCCCCGCCGTGGCGTTGCCTCACAATCTGAGCCCCCAGAGTTCTCGACTCGACCTTCCATCGGGGACCGATTATCGACATAGTCAGGAGGGAAAACTCATACAGACACAATCAATCGTCGATCCCCCGGAAAATATGAGAACATATGGGAAGTGGGGGGGAAAACGAAAATCCAGAAGACATGGACAAATAATGGGAATCCTGGGATTTGTGTGTATTTGTTTCTGGGTCCTTGGGCTCCTTGGGCTCCTTGGTCAAGCATAAGCTCTCGGAGGTTCGCGCGGATCTCTTGGATCGGCGCTGGTCCCCCTGGGCGCGGCCGCGACCCCCCGCTGCCGACGGGTGCCGCCGCCGCCGCCGTTCCCTCCCACATGGAGCTCGAGCACATTGGCACCGCCGATGCATCGGCGATGCGGCTGAAGGTGGAGCACGATTTTCTCCGCGCTCGTGGCGCCCATACATCGGCAACGCCGCCAATGTATCACGGATGCATCGGCGATGCGGCGCGATGTTCCGACCCACCTATCCAGAACGAGTGCGGGAGGTCTCCAGCCCAAGACATCCCGAGTCGGCCTCTGACGGTGTCGGGGTTCGGCGAGGGCCTGTAGATCGAGGTCAGTGCACGGTGCGAAACCTCCAGCCGTCGTCGTCGACGTCTCGCCGCTCGCCGTGGTGGCGGATTTCCGCCGCCATCGATAGAGGAAGAAAAATGGCACAAGTATTATCAGGATGGTAACACGAACACAGACACAACCAAACGCTGATTCCCAGGAAAACTTTGGAAAATATGGGAACTGGGAGGAAGACGACAATCCAGAAAATATGTACATACAAATAGTGTGGGGTATCTTTAAGTTTGCGCATATTAATTTGTGTGTGTGTGTGTCCCTAGGCCCCTTCACATTGCTTTTCGGAGTTCCCCGCGGATGTTTCGGATCTGCGCTGGACCCCACCCGCTGGCGCGCGGAGCGCGCGAAATGCGGCGCCGGAGGCGCTGCCACGGGGGGGCCGGGACCGATCCAAGAGATCCGCGCGGAGTTTCGAGAGCTTCTGCTTGTGGCGTGTTCTGCTCCTCGAGCCGAGGCGCGGCCGCGAGCCCCGCCGCGGGCCGCGTCGCTGGCCCCTCCTCCTCCTCCTCCACTTCCTCGAGCCTCCTCGCTTCTGCCACGGAGACCGTGGCGCCCAGGACACTCCTCGGCCCTCCTCGTTCTAGCAGGGGCGGGCCGCCCCTGGGGAGGGGGGGGGGGGGCATTCCGGCGCACTCGTTCGGGCGCGTCGCCGGGCCCAGAGGCGCCGCGGCCGAGCCCGCTGCCGCGGCCGAGCCCGCTGCTACCGCCGAGCCCGCGGCCGCGGCCGACGCGGCGGCCGCGGCCGGCGCCGCTGGCGCCCCCGCCAGCGCGGCCGCTGCCAGCGCTGGCGCCGGCTCGGGCGGCACGGCGGTCGCCGTGAGGCCGCGCGCGGCCTGCCGGGGCGGGAGGAGAAGAGGGTGCCTGAGAGAGAGAGAGAGAGAGAGAGAGAGAGAGAGAGCCTGCTGCTTAGAAACTGATCGGATCGTTTCTCTGGAGTCGGAGCGCGGAATTCGCGGTCGCCTCGGAGCACACCTGTGAGCACGACCCGGGGTGTCTCTGAACTCCTCTGCCTTGAGCCAGAGAGAGAGAGAGAGAGACACGATCTCGAGCGGGAGAGTGGCGATCTCGAGGGCGCGATATCGAGGGGACGATCTCGTGTGCGTATGTGTTTCGTCGGGTCAGCGAGACTGACAAGTTTGGGCTACATGAGTTCTCTAGTCAAGTGAAGGAGGGGTTACCTCAAGGGGGGTGAAGGCAAGGGGCCACTGAGCTCCTCTAAGCGCCATCTGGGGCTACTGGCCCCTCTTGGTACAGTACGGATCCGTCTTGGGGCCCTCTTGCGCGCTATGTGGCTCCTCCGAGGGACTCGCGTCGCGGACCAGTCGAAATCGCGATAATCATTAAAATTACGGGAGGGGGACGCATCGACTTCCAATCACCCATGGATATGGATCGCCGATGTGGGCCCCCTGGCGCTCCGGACGTCCCTGGCGCTTCTGACGCTCGTGACGCTCCTGACGCCCCTGACGCCCCTGACGCTCTTGGCGCTCCAGGCGACCCGGAGCGTCATCGGCGTCAGGATCGTCAGGAGCGTCGGGGGCGTCAGGGGCGCCCGGGGGCGTCAGTGCTTTGCGAGCCACCGCTGCGCCACCTTTTCGAAATGACGAAAACCATTGAAGTCGCGAAGACGCCAAGGGATTCCGAAAGGTTGCGCACCGTGCTATGTGGGGGATCTTTTGGAGCCCTCCTGGGGCCGTCCTGGCATCAGTTTGGACGCTCTTGGATTTTGTTTCTGAGATTCTGGGCTCTCGTGAGGCCGTCTTCGGCTATCTGAGGACGGGCGTAGGCGGTCTTGCGACCCTTCTGGGCCGTGCCCTCGGGGGCCATCTTGGGCTGCTCTTGGGGCCCTCACACTGGGCCTCTGTGTAGACGCCCACTGCACCATCTTCCTCGAGTCCCTCTTGGAGCCGTCCCCGACTGAAAAGTGTGTGGAGTGGAGTCCCAGGAATGTCCCAAAACCTGTGGGATTCCCCATGTTGCTTTGGTGATGTTTTGGTCTTCGTGTGGCCATGGCGGGTCCGTCGTGTGCCCTTCGTGTGGCCCTGGTTGGTCCTTCGTGGAGTCATTTGGGAGCCTCATTGGCCCGCTGGAACTTCCTTGAACTTGATGGCAATTCGCCTGTCACCAGCATCCCGTCCAGAAGCGACCCCCAGGCGAGTTTCCTTGACCGGGGGTATTAAGGAGGGGAGCAGCCGCCAAAACGAAGCTCGCGATCAGCCTGAGCATGCCGATATTCGGCGGCGAGCGAGGGGGGGAAGTGAGAAGGAGAAGGCCCTCTCAGAAGGCTCGGAAGTCCCCCTGGCCTTCTGAGAAGTGTTCTAAGCCTTCCCGGAAGACCAACACAACTTCTCAGAAGGCGCGAGGGCTTCTGAGAAGGCCCGCCGCCTTTGAGAAGGCCTTCTCCTTCTTAATCCCCCCCTTGGCTCGCCGCCGACAAAGGGGGGACCTCTTGGAGGCTTCTGTGGGACATCCTGCGATGCTCTTGTGGCAACTGCGGGGGGGGGGGGGGCGGGGGGGCATGTGGGGCTTTTTGAGAGCCCCCTCGGTGGCCTCGCGGGCCCGCTTGGAGCCATGTTGGACGACCATGGTTCAAACAATTGTCGGCGGGACGAGAGCGAGCCTCTTGCGGTCAAGAGCTAGGCGGGCCGCGCAAAGCACTAATTGGGGAGACGGGGCGCGGGCGGGCGGGGCCTCAGGCGGCCGGAGGCTATGGTTCAAACAAGGAGGCGGCATTAATTAGCCTCGCCCCGTCAGAGCCCAGAGATCACTTCTTGGGTTGGGGTGGGGGCACTTGAGGAAGCGCTGTTCTGCCGCTCTTTGGCACTGTCGGGGTTGTCTTGGAGTGCTTCTGAGCCCCTCTTGGGGCTTTCTCGGGCAATCATGGGCGCCAGTCGGAAGCGAACCGACGACATGGCAGCATAGGGGAAGCACACATGTGCTTGTTTGAAACACTTTTACAGGTCGGCGGCGTCCTAAAGAGGCTCAAGCCGTCTTGGGGCCTCTTGACGACAGGATGGACGCCAATATTGGCCCAACGCGTCCCAAGGATGCCCCCGAGAGGCCGACAGCTTTAAACCACTTCAGGAGGTATTCCAATGATTGTGTCTGTGAGCGAAGGGGGAGTGCATCACAAGCCCTGGCCATCTGCTGCCGAACTTGTCGATCCTTGGCCCTTCTCCTCCTCATGCCTCGTCGTCTTCACCACCCTCTCCGTCTTTTCTCTCTTCCAGGGACACCTGACAATCCCTGGAGGCATCTACAGGTCTTTTAAGACCAAGCAAACAGGATCAAACACGCAAAATAAGGCCCGACGCTTGAGCCTCTCCTCCTCCTCCCCCTCGTCCTCCCCCATCCGATGCCACAAGACGCGCTGGGATCGGATACCACTGAACGCGATGAGAGACAGTACATGGAAGCTCTGCTGCTGGAATCCCGACGTGTTCGGCTACAACGGGCTGGCCAGCATGGGGAGCAGCCCGAGGCCGACGTCGTGTTTTTTGTTTCTGATGTTTCACTTCGTGGATCCCCTTGCCTGGGAGCAGGCCTTTGCATCCCCAGCAGTTTTATGGATCGTCCTGTGGCCAGGGAGCGCCCCCCCTCGGAGGCCAGACAAAAAAGTAACGCATCGGCGCGGTTGGATCACGGCTCCCATCCCCGCGCTCGGGTTTCGCCGGGGAGCGTCCAGACCGCGGATGCTGTGAGGAAGCTCGGCGAGATCGCCGCAGTGTGCGCATGCCCTCCGCCTGCACCCCAGCCCAGGGGGGTGCATGCGCTCGGAGGGGAAGGACTCTTTTGCTCACGCGTGCAGCTCCTGAGAGGATCAGTTCAGCATCAGCACTGGTAGATTCTTGGTCGGAGACCAGCACAATCCCGTTGAGTTGGATCATGCCTGATCCCTCGAAAGCTGTGTTCATCCGGCTTCATCCCAAGCCTAACCTGGCCGCCCCCGTCATGATGGCACGTCAATCGGGCCTTCCAGCTCATAATGCGTGGGAAGAACTCCCAGACGTTGCTTCCTATCCTGTCCGATCCTCACCCTGTCCCCCTCCTCCTGTTGCGTCAGTTCAGTAAGCAGGGACCGCTCCAGAGTCCTCGAGGGCCCTACAGGGTCAAGTGGCCCGAGGATCCACGGCGCTCAGAGTGCCTCTCGACTGACTCATTGCCGACGGCTGCTGGCACTCCAAGGTGAGCGCCAGCTCTCTCGAGCTTGCCGAGCGACCTCACACTGCCGAAGGCGCCGATCCCGGTCCCGCTCCCCTCCTCCTGCCGGCCCCTCCGCTCCGCGCCCGCCTCTCCGGGCCAGGCGCCCCCTGCGGAGGAGGCACCTGTGCTGCTGACGCCGCGCGGCCGCCGCGCGCTCCCTTGGCGGGGAGGAGGCCCCTCCCGCTCGACGCCTCCTGCCCCTGCCCCTGCCCTGCGGGCCGGCCGCGCCTCCTATGCTCGAGGGCGGCACAGAGGGGGGTGACGACGAGGGGGAGGTGGACATCATGGCGGGGGAGATGAGATCTCCCCAGATTCTGTGGCGCCTCCTCTTAGTTCCCTACGTCCCTGGGCCCCCCCCCTGGCCGCCGGCCATGGTTTGCGCCCCCCCTCTTGGACGCCCCCCTCCTGGCCGCACCCGATCCTCGGGCCTCCCAGATTGAGCTCGGAGCAGATGGGCTAGGAGGGTCGCGCCGCACCGCCGATGCACAGCCGATGCATCGGCGATGCGGCTGGATGTGGAGCCCGAATTTCTCCACGCCGACGTCTCCGATGCATCGCCGACGTCGCCGATGAATCGTCGATACAACCCTCCGACCCCATCTTCCCGGAACCCATCTAGGAGGCCTCTATCCCAGGCGGGCATGATGTCCATCCAGGTCCAAGGCGCTTGGGACTTTCTGAGATGGGGCGCCCAAGGGCCCAGGCGCAGTGGGTACGGATACGAATCTTGCAACCAGGGGCCAGATTTTTCTCCTCGTCCACTGCGCCCTCGGTTTTCTGGCGAGTTGTGCCCGAAATTCCGCGATGCAGTGGATATGGATGTAAATCTTGACTGCATCCTAGACGCGGCATCGTCTTCCTCTCAGGGGCAACGCCAGGGGGGGGACCGTCACAGGGGCCCGATAGTCGACCCCGCCGGGGAACGTGCGGATCCGTTGTCTGTTCATCGCCGATCCATCGGCGATGTATCGCCGATTCGAGGTCGATGTTCCCCCCCCCCTTGAGCCAGCCCCCCCCCTGCGTTACCCCTTATTCTGCAGCTGTGGAGCACCAGCAGCAGTGCGAGCAGCAGACGCGCCCGGCAGGCCGCTGTGCCGTCTCAGGCACGGCGGCACGGATCCGAGCGGAGGGTGGCGCCCCCGGGCGGCGGACCGTCCTCACCATCGGGCGGTGCGTAATGGAGGGGCGATGCATGCCAGCCACGCGCAGAAGAGGGATCATGGGGGAGGGGAGGGCTTCTCAGAAGCACCCCTGTTCCTTGGAAGGCGCGGGCCTGATCTACAGATGTGAGGCCGGCGCCTTGTCAGCATCAGCCTCTTGGCAAGAAGCCTTCCCCCCCCCCCCCCCTCCACCCAAGTGCGCGCGCCGCCAAGCATTGGGGGTGGGTGCGGAAAGGTGCACCTTTCGCGCCCGAGAGGGGCTCCAGAGGGGCCCCCCTGGGGTCCACAAGGGGTACGTTAGGTGCCCTTTTCCTCCCCCTCGTATTTCCTTGGCATCGCTCGGACGTGTGCATTTTTCCTTCGGCGAGGGTCATCGAGGAGCATCCTTGATCATTTGGCGAAACAACCACGCACGAAACCGAAAAAATGATCCTGGCGAAGGACCCAACCATATGCAATTGTGAATACTGCACTTGTGAATATCTTCTCGGTGGAGCCCCCTACGGGGCCACGAAACGTACGAGGGGTGTGCCGAAATGGGTGTGCGGGACGCATGCGGGCACACCCACTGGGGCCTTCGGTGGAGCTCCCTATGGGGCCACGAAACGTGTGAGGGGTGTGCCGAAATGGGTGTGCGGGACGCATGCGGGCACACCCACTGGGACCTTCGGCGGAGCTCCCTATGGGGCCACGGAACGTGTGAGGGGCGTGCCGAAATGGGTGTGGCTGACGCATGCGGGCGCGGGCACTGGGGCCTTCGGTGGAGCTCCCTATGGAGCCACGAAACGTGTGAGGGGTGTGCCGAATGGGTGTGGGTGACGCATGCGGGCGCGGGCACTGGGGCCTTCGGTGGAGCTCCCTATGGAGCCACGAAACGTGTGAGGGGTGTGCCGAAATGGGTGTGGGTGACGCATGCGGGCGCGGGCACTGGGGCCTTCGGTGGAGCTCCCTATGGAGCCACGAAACGTGTGAGGGGTGTGCCGAAATGGGTGTGGGTGACGCATGCGGGCGCGGGCACTGGGGCCTTCGGTGGAGCTCCCTATGGAGCCACGAAACGTGTGAGGGGTGTGCCGAAATGGGTGTGGGTGACGCATGCGGGCGCGGGCACTGGGGCCTTCGGTGGAGCTCCCTATGGGCCACGAAACGTGTGAGGGGTGTGCCGAAATGGGTGTGGGTGACGCATGCGGGCGGCAGCACTGGGGCCTTCGGCGGAGCTTCTACTATGGGGCCACGAAACGTGTGAGGGGTGTGCCGAATTGTGTGTGGGTGACGCATGCGGGCGCAGCACTGGGGCCTTCGGTGGAGCTCCCTATGGAGCCACGAAACGTGTGAGGGGTGTGCCGAAATGGGTGTGGGTGACGCATGCGGGCGCGGGCACTGGGGCCTTCGGTGGAGCTCCCTATGGAGCCACGAAACGTGTGAGGGGTGTGCCGAAATGGGTGTGGGTGACGCATGCGGGCGCGGGCACTGGGGCCTTCGGTGGAGCTCCCTATGGAGCCACGAAACGTGTGAGGGGTGTGCCGAAATGGGTGTGGGTGACGCATGCGGGCGCGGGCACTGGGGCCTTCGGTGGAGCTCCCTATGGAGCCACGAAACGTGTGAGGGGTGTGCCGAAATGGGTGTGGGTGACGCATGCGGGCGCGGGCACTGGGGCCTTCGGTGGAGCTCCCTATGGAGCCACGAAACGTGTGAGGGGTGTGCCGAAATGGGTGTGGGTGACGCATGCGGGCGCGGGCACTGGGGCCTTCGGTGGAGCTCCCTATGGAGCCACGAAACGTGTGAGGGGTGTGCCGAAATGGGTGTGGGTGACGCATGCGGCGCGGGCACTGGGGCCTTCGGTGGAGCTCCCTATGGAGCCACGAACGTGTGAGGGGTGTGCCGAAATGGGTGTGGGTGACGCATGCGGCGCGGGCACTGGGGCCTTCGGTGGAGCTCCCTATGTGAGGGGTGTGCCGAATTGGGTGTGGTGACGCATGCGGGCGCGGGTACTGGGGCCTGTGGAGCTCCTGGGGCTACGAAACGCTGTACTGGGTGGGTGAAACGCAGGGAAGAGGGGGGATGATGATGATGATGATGATGATGATGATGATGATGATGATGATGATGATGATGATGATGATGATGATGATGATGATGATGATGATGATGATGATGATGATGATGATGATGATGATGATGATGATGATGATGATGATGATGATGATGATGATGATGATGATGATGATGATGATGATGATGGCAGAAGGGAGGGGGCAGCGGGAGGAGGAGGAGGGAACGCGGGGCACCGTCTCTTCAAAACGAGGACCCAACACCACAGGATGGTTGGGAAAAACAGGAAATGGACGTCCGAGCGATGGCGAGTTTCGGCCCAGTCGAAAGGGCAGGATCGGGACATGGGGGGGTTGCGAAAGCTGCTGCATGCAGCTGGTTTCTGCTCCGCTGGGACGCCCATTCCTCAATACTTTTGCGCCTGCCTGCGCCAATGGGCGTCAGGAAAACTAGCTACGTTAGCTGATGTTCTACCCAGTCCTTTGCTGTCCTACCCTTCGTCCCCCCCATCACGCTTCGCGCTTCGCGGAGCACGAAAGCGCGAAGATAATCATGCATCGCGGAGCGCGAAACGCGAATATAGTTGCCCTAGCATCTATCCCCCCCATCACGCAACGCCCATCGCACGCCTGGCCCTGGTGGCCATCCGTCCCAAAGTTGGGCGGGTGCCGGGGTCGCGGGAGGGGCATGGACGACTGAGGGAGGTAGGCTCGAGGAGGGAGCGTGGGAGGGTAATGGAGTTGGAGGACGGAGGTCAGAGGAGGGAAAGTACCGATACCGCCACCCTCGCCCCGTTTTTGCCTTTTTGGGCTTCCTGGGAGGCCCTCGTCGCCACCGCTGGACTCGCTGTAAAAATCTGGTCAGAAAGCGCCCAGGGAGAGCTCTTGGGAATAATTGGCTGTATCGGTACAGGGAGACCGGGATGGAGGGATCTTTGGCCCTATCTGGCAATTCACGGAGTCCGTAAAGGCAAGCGTGCGGGTGTCACTGTGGTCGACGAGGTGGCCGTCTCTGCTTCGGAGCAGGCCGTCGCGCGTGCGGACTTTGGCGCTCAACCGCCGCTTGCCCCTTTCGCGACTGGCGGCGTGTACCCAGGGCCAGCCAAAACGATTAGGTCTCGGGAGATCGTTGGGCGCCGAGGCTCAGGGGTTCTTCTGTTCGAAGGACCTGGGCATGTGTGGCGGTCTGGCGGCCACGTTGTCGCCGTCGCCGCCCCGTCGCCGCCCGTCGTCTTGGCCTGTATGGCGGTCTGGCGGCTATGTTGACGCCGTCGCCGCCCCGTCGCTGCCTCGTCCCCGTCTCCCTTCTAAAACTTGACGGGCCCCTTAAAGTATTTCGTGCATGATCCTTGACAGTCGTCCATCCGAAATATGAGTTCACACTATCCCAGCTAAACTTGGAAAAATAATTATGTGCGCGCACGCGTTTGTCAGAAATCATCAGTTTTCCAAAAAGCCCTTGCAAAAAAGCTGGACAAAGTGCACGCGCGCCCGTCGTCGCGCGCGCATGCCGGAATCTTTCCATTGGTTTCGTAAGGGTCTGACAATCGAGTGCCTTGAAATCACAGAAAACACATGGCTTCGCAACAATAATTCCCCAACAAAAATACCTGCGTTCGCTCCCCTGCGAATTCTCATGAAAACCATAGGTTGTTCAGCACTTTCATAAAATTCGACACGTAACACCCTTGCGAGCGTGTTGTCGGAATATTACCGAGGTGAGTCTAGTCTCCGGCCTCAGGCTGGGACACCCGGGACACCCAGAGCACCCGGAACACCCGGAGCACCCAGAGCACCCAGGACAACCAAATCAGCTGGAACACCCGGAGCACCCGGAGCACCCGACCACGAGGACCTCCCGGAGCCACCCGGGACACCCGAAGTATTTGGGGACGGGACGCCCAGAGCACCCACCGGAGCACCAGG